GCAACTCCTATCCCTTGATACTCATCCAGTGCTCTGTAAATGCGTGCAGGAAATTGAAAACAAGTTTGCTCACATCTCATATCTGATCTCAATCATTAGATTATGTTTTTTTTTAGCTAAAGTATAGGTATTTTCTTATTGAAAATAATCATATTCGAAATATTATTGGGTACTAAATGTGAACACCTCTCCTAACAGGAATTCGAATCTTAATTCGTCATATTGTGAAAGATTAACTCTTTCTATTAGATTCAACTTTTTTTTATGATAATCTTAGACCTATATTGAGTATTGAGATATGGGTTTAGGTCTAGACAACGTCCAGAGATGATCCAGGTCCGAGTAGATAATATATTTCGTCAAGTTTTTCAAATTGAGATCCCGCGCGCAATAATTTTATTTATTTATTTTTGTCCACTTGTCTTGCCTTTTCCAACCCGCCAAATCGCCAATATCTAATGAGAAATAATAAATAAGAGTTTAATATCATTAGGATGCCATCATAGAAAATCCATTGCAATTGATCTGACGTTTCGTTTAATTGTTAATTTGTTTGTGATTTATTTCACTGTCAGCTAACCACCACGCATCTGACATATTTGATGTCAAGTCTCAAAAGTATATAACTGTCCTGCAATTAAAAATGATAAGATTTTGGTTGATATAAATTTTGCTTATTCAATTTTACCCTCATTTTAATTTTGATCCCTCAAGTTTTAAATTATAAGTCTTAGTCCCACAAGTTTCTTTTCATGTAAAATACTGATCCCTATAATCTAATAAAAATTTGGACTATTTTGCTCTTTAAATTTATGGTTGGAAACTTAAGGAACTAAAATCAAAATAAGAATGAACTTAAAAGACTAAAAATCATGCCAAGTTGCCAACCCTTAAAATTTTTCATTGTTTAAATTATGTTTTGTACATATACTTGTGCAATTTGGTAACGTAAAAATTTAAATTGTCATGCAGGCCTGGTAATTATACGGCTTCGTATAATTATTTTTATCAAAGCTAAGGTACAAAACATGTCACTACACGCTCACTCTATCACAAACTAAACAAATGCCAGATGAAACATTCATGTCCGTGTAATAAAAACTTATCTTTAAAACAAATTCCATCAAACTTTATTGGCATAATTTTACAAGAGGATGCGTTGTTATGCCCTGGGCCCAGCATCCACAGGACTCATCCCACTGACCACTTGATGAGTCGCTTTTATTTGTTGGATGGGGAGCATCCATATATTGATAATTATTAATAACATTGCTTAATTAATATTATCTTGCGTTCTAATTACAAAATCTCATTTGTAAACTATAAATAGGGTTTTATAATTAGGACCGGAGGTATTACTTAATTACTTCAATGTACAAACAAAAAATACGACATAAACAATATTATTACCTCCTTGCCGAATGGCGAATCCGTCGTACTAAGCCTCTCTGAAACGGATAAAAGAAGTACTGTAATTTCAAAACAATGAAGAAAAGGGACCCAAAAAAAAAAAAGGGCCTAAACTAGAAGAGTAAAGAGAACATAATATCGCTCAAAAGGAAGATTAGCCCTCGCAAGGTTACTTGAATGTCCAAAGCGCATATATTAATTCGTCTATTTTATTCACTCCTTTTTGAAGTCACCATAAATATGTTCGTCTTTTATAAGATCTGCATTTATAAAAGAGCATAAAGCTTCTCTGGAGAAAGGTTTTCGCCTTACTAGGGAAAAAAAGACGAGACTTTAGCCTTTTAATATTAGCAGGTGTTATTTTAAAAGTCTTTTTTATTGCGTTTTTTTTATAAAAAAAAAGTTCAGCATCCCCGGGGGGGGAGTTCCTTGAAAGATGACGTGTTATAAAACTCTTATCGTCATTATTGGTTTGAGAAGAAAATAGGGCTCGGAAATGCAGTCTCAAAAGAATCATGGAGCTGTTTATAGTATGATGATTGCAAAACGAGGTGATTGGATCATTCGTTTATGGTTGAGAAATGCTAGCGAGGACGGTCAGGTACGCTTTTCTCATTCTTACATTTGATCAACTTATTTCAGATAATTTTTTATCATATGAGATAAATATACGAGAAGAATTTTATTTTATAAGGTGTAAATTAAAAATGTTACTAGTATTTGAAGTGTTCCCAAACCTATCCCAAATTACAAGGAACCTCCGAAGCTGGAGGTATACTGTATAGAGATACAATGAGGGTCTCTTTTCGAATATGTGTTGTTGATATATGGTTTACTTTTCTTTTTTCGGGTACATGACACATAGTTTACCTGAGTATATGTTGCCTGGCGCCTCATCTTATAATCCCCCCCTCCCAAAAAAAAAAAAAAGAAGCCACGCCTCAATAAAATTACGCGGGCTAACTTTTTAGCTAAATTAATAAAATATTTGAATGAAAACCAAACTATAATTTTAAAAATATTTTTACAATATACGAAATAAATATGTGAAGGAATTTAACTCATTTTGTAAAAAAATGCTTTTATTTATCTCGTTTTATGAAAAAGTATTTTTTAAAAGCACTTCATGTTACGAAACACCCCATAAATTTTGTTTTTACTCCTACATGATTAACGTTGCAGAATATGCCACAGCAACTTTTATTTTTTAAAACAATCTATGAATTACAGTAGTTTTTTTTTTTAATTAAGTTTTCACAAGAGCGGCATATGGCGGATCTACAGTTAGTAGTGTCTGATTTATTCGTTTTTATCTTGCTCAAAACAGGAGCGGATTTAGGGATAGAACAATGAAAAATATGATCCCAATATTTGGTTTGAGATTTAAGTATGAGAGGGACGAGATTTAAAAAACGTATATAGTATAAAATTTACATAAATTTAATTAAGGGTCAGAAATATATGACATGTACATAATACTATCTCTTGTTCTAATTATAAGACTTTATTTATATTTTATAAATGAGATTTTATAATTAGGACAAGAGGTAATATTAAAGAAAATAAAAATTAGGAACGCCTTGTCCCTGTTGGTCCTCCCTTTTTCACCATTGCAATAATATAGAAAGCCGTGTTTATCCATTTTTATAGCAAACTAAATGGCAGAAAGTTTGTCCATTGCACGTACTAGATATAATTGATTTCTTGTGCCTGACTTAAAAACCACCCCACCATCCACTCCCACTGGCCCCGGGGCCCGACCAGCGATGCTGATCGTTAAACTTGTAAAACATTTAAGAAATTAAATGAAATATGTAATTCACCAAAACTATATACTACTTTTGGTCTTTAATATATTAACTTTTATTTTGATTTTAAATATAATATCCTAATTTATTCTATCTCTCATATTTATCTTTTTTTTTCAAGATTTTTTTATAACAGTAATAGTTCTAGTCACAATACACTTAATTAGTAAGAATATTTTAGAAAAGATAATACATATTTATTATAAATAATTAATTTAACTAATTTTTTTATTCGTCTCAAGTTAGCCAACTACTCCTCCAGTCCTTAATATAAAACCTATTTAACTAATTTGATTAAATTAAGGAAATTAAGTAAGTTAGTTAATTATAAGAAATGTGACACGTTTTTCCTAAAATACCATAATTATCTTTCTTAATACCCTTCTTTTTCTTCTACTTGATTATGGTTGAAGGAATATCTACAGGGATAATTTAGAGAAAATAGATAAACATGAAAAATTGGTCTTATATTTAGGACCAAAACTAATTTAATAATTAGGTCTTATATTAAGGACCGGAGGAGTAACTTTTATATTAAAAATTAGAGATAGAAATAATTTCTCCCTTGTTAGGGTTTCTATCAATCCTGCCCGCTCGCATGAAATGGAGACGATTGAAGTGAGTGAAACGACGTGGGAGGCTTCATTGGCATCTCGATCACAAATCAAGACTTCCAATTTTTCGTATAAATAAATATATAAATAGACAGGCTATATATGTATGTGTGTGTGTGTGTGTTCCATTATTGTTAACCTTTTGTGTGATTATCTTGTTTTTATTAGCATTATTTTATACGTATAATGGAACCCACATTATTGGGCAGGATCTGAGGATGTCCCCAGCAGCACGTGAGCGAGTTTGAAAAGTGGAGGTGACAGCTATGTGCTATTTGCTGTTTGCTTCTCCTCTCAGTCACAAACATCACCAAAAAGAGGACCACTCTGCAAAATTCAAAAAAGAGTTTGTCTCGTGCATGTGCATCTCCCATCTCATATTCCCATGACGTGGACTCTATCTATCTAACAGAAGAATCGTTCCTTCCTCTTTGTACTATTGCTCCCTTCGCCTCTTTCACATGCAATTTGCTGCTCTATATGAACTTCCGACGCGTCAATTTAATTATAAAATTGGGGGGGGGGGGGGAGAACTCCGATTGAGGTCTGGGCACATATATATATTTATATATATGTTTGCCTACGGTTCCGACGTTAATAATAACGCATGCATGGTAGTTGGTTAGTTGAAACGAACCCATCTTTCTGGACCTGTGAATGTTGCTTTATTTAATGACGATGACCACTCCCAACACCACTGACGCTGCAAAAATTCAATTACAAAACTGACAACTCAATTTCATTGGTGCTATGGACAGAAAGTTTAATTGACAGTGATGCCGATCAATTTTAATAAGCTGAATCTTGCCATTACTGGCTAATAAGTTGATTTTCTTAACTCAGGAGACGGATATTATCAGTTTAAGATTACAAATACAATCGAACTTGCAATTTTTCATTTGCAAAAGGATTTTCATGTTACTAAGCCACAACTATTGGCAGAAAAGTTGAATCCTGAAACACATCCTTTATGGATGGCATTCTTACAGTTTGAGAATATAAGAAGGCATTTCGTGCATGGGAGGCCTGGTGGGCCAATTCTTGAAGCAAACCCACTCCTCGGCCCATGCACTCATAAAATAAAGAGAGGGCCCGTGTAATTTCAAATTGACGCGAACATTTGAAATATATGTAAAGGAAATCTGTCTTGAGTAGTTGCTTTCCCACCATTGTCTGCGAGTCCCTTATCCGCGCGAATTGGGAAGAAGGGTTCAGAAGAAGAGTATGGCGGGGACTGTATCCATGACCTATCCAGCGAGTGCCATTTTAGTTTCTGGTTCGTCAGTATCCAAATCTGTTGCTATATTTCTCTGTTTGTAGCTTCAGTGTGATCCTTGTTTGCCAGCTCTCTAACCACTGGAAGTTCCGAACTCCGATGACTCGGAGCACAACAGTGTTGTTTATGTTCTTCGGCATCGGAGGATGCATTCTCTTGACAAATCGGAGCATGATGATGTTTTAAATTGATTTTCAGGAAATAGGTTATGCAATACTACTCGGAAACGAAGGAAAATAGCGATGTCTCTTGGAAGCAATAAAGAGAGGCCAGAAGTGGCTGTTCAATCAGGTGATCAAAGGCTTTATCTAGGTCTGGATTTTGGCACATCCGGTGCGAGGTTCGCCGCCATTGACGAGGACGGCGCGATTCAAACCGAGGCCAAGAGAGAGTATCCTTTGTACAAGGTACAGATCTCTCTCTCTCTCTCTCTCTCACACACACACACACACGATATCTATATTACTGCTCTGTTTTTCCCCGCCTTTTCAAGTTCTCATTCGAGCTTTTTGTAGAATGTTCTGTTGAGAGTTATTATTACAGGATGCTATATCATGTTTTTGAATAAATAATTACAATTAAAAGTGATATGGTTTCAGATTTTGGAGTTAATTGGATAAGTTGTATCACCATAATTCTTTGTCAGGCAGATACCTTGTATGACCTCTGATGAATGACAGTTTTTGAAACCGCATGCTCAAACATTATAATTTTCACTTTGATGTTTCCTGTGCCATGAATTCCACCGAACTTTTGAAAAATAATGCAATTAGTATTCGCATGAAGCGCAGATATGAGACGCAGCACCATAGAAACACCCATGTCAACACAAAAATATGAAGTGTCCGTATTGCATTTTGAAGTGTTCTTCGTCATACTCAATACATCTTATTTTATGTCTCGGTGCCTTGTAGATTATACGCTAACCATTTAAATTCCAATTTGATGTCTCATGTGGCATAAATCTCACTTAATTTACTGAAAGAATATAATTACTATGTGCATTACATGTTAAGAAGCACAGATGCGAGTCAACATGAAGATCTCATTCTGGTTCAGCAATAGGAAGCTGTACACGATTCATTGGCTTTGTCCCTAATGTAATTAAGTAGTGGTTGGTAAATTATCGTCATAGCATGGGTTCTAGCTGTTATTCATGTTTTTTACCTCTGTCAGATGTTAGTAACCGTTAGGCTTGCTGTTTGTTGGCTGTTGAGTATTTTTTTTTTGTTCAGTTCATTTAAGGAAAAAATAGAAGCACAGATGCGACACCCAACACCATAGACTCCATAAAACTACAGAAACATGTAGTTTCTTTTACGTAGTGCGTCTTGTTTTATTGGCATTGGTGGTTAATAGATTTTCTGTTATTAATATTACTGCCATGGTAATGGAGTTCTTGTTTCTGTTGTCTAGAAAGAATGGAGAAACACAGGACTGGGTACGGTCGTGGAAAGAGACACTATTCCTGCTACTTGAAGACATTCCATCAGATGTCCGGAAACATATTGCGTCTATTTCTATTGATGGGACTTCTGCAACTACGCTCATTGTTGATAGGTGGACGACTTGCATTTTGTTGCTTTTCAATTTATACCTTGCTCTATATTTAGACTATATCTGAAGAAGGAATATGAATGGCGTATTGCAGTGATACGGGAGAACCGTTAGGGAGACCTTTCCTTTACAATGAGAGTTGTCCTGATGCTTTGCCAATGGTGAAATCCATTGCTCCTCCAAATCATACAGTTTGCTCTAGCTCTTCCACCCTGTGCAAGCTCGTCTCATGGTGGAACCATGTTGATTCAAACAAGAAATCTGCTCAGTTGCTACACCAAGCAGACTGGCTTTTGTGGCTTCTTCATGGAAAGCTTGGAGTTTCAGATTATAACAATGCTCTGAAGGTATAATTCAGTGCTTCTTCGCACCGGGAATGTTTATTAATGTTACTTAATTATCATGCCTGATAAAATTTTTAATTTGGAAAATCCAATCGTTTTTCAATGTTTTGCAGGTTGGCTATGATCCCGAAGTGGATTCATATCCAGCATGGCTAGTCCGTCAGCCATATTCTCATCTTTTGCCTTCAGTTGTGGCTCCAGGAACTCCGGTTTCTTATCTAAAAGAAGACATTAGAAATAAATTTGGTATGCTTTCCCTTTATTAATTACACTTGTAGCTGGAACTATGTTGAAAGAATTTGTATTGCATTTGAGAATAAAGAATCTACGTAAATATTGAATTCAAGTTGATTAAATAAGTTAACACAGAAATGGAAAGAAAAGAAACATCTAACTCAGGTTGCAACTAAATCTCAGTAGCCGATTCATATCACTTAGCTGATTCATCTGACTTCCACACGTGTCTGTTGTTCGTTGCTGTCTTTTGACCCCCCCCCCCAAAAAAAAACAACAACACAAACGCAAAAGAAAAGAAGAAAAAATAGGCACCTGAATTTCTTTCTGTTTCCACCTAATCAAAGTTTTGGAGCGCACATCCTTTCAGGTTTTCAACAAGATTGTGTGGTGTGCACGGGAACCACCGACAGTATAGCTGCATTTCTTGCAGCCCGTGTCTCTCAGCCCGGTGACGCTGTAAGGATTTTACAGCACTTGTCCCTCTTTAATTATCGAACCAGAAAGGTCATCGACTATTTCTAATGTATCATATTTTTTAAACATACATAAAAATGTTCACAATTAACCTTTCTATGCGTTTTAGCATCTAAGAAAGATGTGTGGCGGGAATCACTTCAAGCACGGAAATATGTTGTGCCATTGTTTGGTCTATGGCGATTTTGCATGAAGTGTCGCTGCTAAACAATCTATTTAAATGTTGCCTCTAAAGTGATCCTTCCACAATCAGTGTTTTTCTGACATTTTTGTTTGACAACATGCATTCTTGATTAGGTTACTTCACTGGGTTCAACACTTGCTATCAAACTATTGAGTAATACCAGGATTGAGGATTCGCGGTTTGGGGTCTATAGTCATCGGCTGGATGATAAGTGGCTTGTTGGTGGTGCTTCAAACTCTGGTGGAGCTGTTCTTAGGCAGTTGTTCACAGATGATCAATTAGAGAAACTAAGTGAACAGATCAATCCCTTGGAAGCCTCCCCCTTGGACTACTATCCTTTGCCAAAAGCCGGTGAGAGATTCCCAGTGTCAGATCCAAATTTGTCTCCGAGGTACTTGATGCGATTTACTTTCACGAACAAATTAGAGTGGTCATGACTTCGATTAAGAGCTTCTATACATAATTATGGTCCCTTTGGGGACATCCAATAAAAAATATGTACTCCTCCGACTCTAAACATAAGAACCACTTTGTAGTGCAAATTACAGTACAAAGTGCGTGTTATATTTAAGACTGAATGAGTACATAATTATGGGGAAAATACAGCTGACCTCGGGTTTGATCCAAAATAAGTTGGTCCCTCGTGGTTGGAGCAACTACAATCGAATTAACCTGTAGTATATTTTGCATATAATTTTTTGTGAATATTATCGCGTTAAAATAATATATAATCATATTTTGAATGTTTGTAATGCTCCAAAGTTATTGTTGAGATTAGGTGGGCATTCAACTTAGATATATTAGCGAACTTTCATTAATTGCCTTCAAGACTGCGAAAGTACAATGTCATTGTTCAATATTTTCACTTTTACATGATTTTTTCAGTTAAAATTAAGGAAAAACAATTTTGAAGGGCAATTAAATAGCGGTGTAACAACAAACCACGTGGAATTTAAATAAGATGCTTCAAATCACGAGGGGCTAAACTTATTTTGGACCAGATCAGAGGGATTTGACAGTAATTTGCTAATATTTATTATCATTGTTAGAGGATGCAATCCCTAATGGTAACTTTCAAGTTCTTATGTTAGGGGGGCTTTCATTAAATTCTTGCACTGATTTACTTTATTCAATTTTTGGGGGTGTTTCTTTCTTTTTCTTTGATTCTGGATCCGGATAAACGAGAGAAATTCAGGTATAAGTCGAGTGGAATAGGGTATACAAGGTGTAAAGATTGTAGCGCAACAGAGTAGCTTTAAAGATTTCTCTGATGGCTGAGTCTTTCGAAGTCGCAATTAAGTCAATTTAGGTTACAAGATAATCTCTGCTCCTATTGGCGTCTAAGCTCTAAAATACACAAAAGTAATAGCAAACGGTGTCCATGGCGTGACCCCAGCTGATTGAATTCTACTGTGGGCAGGCTCCTCCCAAGGCCAGAGAATGATATTGAGTACTTGCATGGGATTTTGGAATCCATTGCACGCATTGAGGTAATAACTTTGCTGGTTCTCTTGCCTATTCGTTTCTATTCGTTTCATGTTTGCTTTAAACGATTCTTTTAAGCGCTCTACTTTCTACAAGGGTAAACCTTCTTGCCATCATTGTAAAATTCCCAAGTTGGTACATAGGTTGCATTATTTTGAAAAGTTTTGCTTTTAAAGAGGTCGAGCTTTGAATTGCAACAACATTAACAATCCAAAGCAAGAAGCTAAAATTAAGTAGAGGTCGAGCTTTCTAGAGCAATCACTCATTCATAGCCTGGAGCGAGAAGCAGGGGTGGAGCTAAGAACGAAAATTGGATCAGGATAAGAGAGAGGGTGCTTGGTTTGCCTGTGAGTCGTGCAAGTCATACAGAGGCTGCATATGGAGCTGCATTATTGGCTTTAAGAGGTGCCAGTCAAAATATTTTGTGAAGCTGATCATTTATTCGCAAACTGGTTCTTTTGAAAAAAAGGTGACCACAAAAATGCCCATCTTTTCCAGTGTTGATTCTGGAATTCGTGTACCATATATCAGCTACTTCTATCTTTTTCCCCACTCCATTCTAAATTGCATTTTAGTTTTATTTAGAATTTGATCTAATAATTGCAACTCAAATTTCACTTTATTTTAAATACTTTATCAAATCCCTAATACAAAAACTAGTTGAAAGTTATATTTAATTCACTTTCTTATATTTATCATTTTTTCTCAAATTAACTTGCTTAACTTTTAAACTAGCATATAATTTAATATCAGAAGAATATTTTATGGAGATCATATTATATTTGGTATATAATTGAATTTATTTGATTTGTTTAATCAATTCAAACTAATCAAATAGCTTTTATATCGTATTAAAGTCAATATAGAAACATGCTTCAACAACTGTGGGAAAAATTATAAATCCAAGTAGAATCCTACGATACTACTAGAAAAATGATTATAGACTATCAAGTGAATGAAAGTCCCTAAAAGAATGCAGAACCAAAGTTCCCAGCATATGCCGTACTAGCACTACGTAGCTGCTTATCAAAAGAATTCGAAATCCCAAACCTGGATATGCCCGTTATATAACAAACTTCAATTGCGTCTGCATATCCTTTCTAGTTCTGGACTTGCTTAACTGAGTACGAAGGAAAGAGACAGGCCTCAATAAAAGTATTTCACTCGAGGTACAAACTAAGAGAATGAACAATGCTCATGCAATGAAGACTAACCAGACAAAGATTCATATCAATTGATAATCACAAGGGTAGCGTAGATATCTATATCACAATGCAATTCATTCTATGGCAAGAACACATTATCCACCTTTAAGCACAAGAGCATACACACGTGACACGTACAAAATCCACAGGGTAAGAAACCAAACCCAACCGGAAAACCTAGAACACTTCCGCCACTTTGCTTGCGAGGACACGTTCCCTTCTTTCAATATAACCAAATGGAAACCAACCTGCTTTTCCTTTGCATTCACCCTCAGCCCATCCGTTGTTTGTCACCTGTTTTAAAAAAAAAAAAAAAACACATTAGAATCTTGTAATCCATTTGACGACAAACAGATACAAGGATTGAGGTTACCCCCTGCACCAAAAAGACAAATAAAAAAACAAAAGAAGTTCTTCTGCATAAATGTTTGGGATTCAGCAAGCAACAAACCTTCCGGACAACAACATAATCACCAACTGCAAGATTTAGCTCTACATCAGACACAGCATGGTATGGAAACAGTACCTGCAATTAGAATAAAGATACAACTTAAAAACTGGTATTCAGCCACTTGTTTTTCAACAAGCAAATTAATAACCTTATTTGCAATATTCACAAACCTCTCCTAAGAAGTAACCCATGCTATCTGTTGATCCATTATGAGTCTGAGAAGCATAGACACCATTAGCTTCTTCATATGATGGGGGTGGAGGCATGCTGTTATCCATGCTAGGAGTAGGAGGGGCTTCAATGCGTTGTCGTTCAGATATCATCTATCATGTTATTAAATATAAAATAGCACACAATCGTATGTCAACAACAAAATAGATGACCTAACTTTCTGATGTCACATTTAAAAATTCAAAAGAATAGTATAAAAGACCAAGAAGTATGGTATCTAACCTCTCCCTCAAGCTGATCAAGTATTTGAAGAACTCTCTGATGATAGGCACGCTCTGCTTCAACCTTCATAAACAAATACAGACTGTTAGATTATTTGAGAGTTATAATTTCTTTTGGCTCAGAGCCATCAAATTGAATGGCTACATCATTACAAGGTAAAACAACAACTACAATACCATAGCTATAAGACGCTGAAGGGTCAACCTCTGTTGCTGCGCTTCAACAGCAGCCATTGCCGCAGCTGCTTCCTTCCCCAAAATGGCCATGTTTGACTTTAGATCTTGCAGCTTTGCTTCAGCTGCTTCCAATTTCATAGCATTCTCAGGATTGCCTGGCGTCTCCCTTATTTTTGCCTGGCGTTTGGCGACTTCAATAGCCTGTCTAGGTTCATTTGACTTTAGATCTTGCAGCTTTGCTTCAGCTGCTTCCATTTCATAGCCTTCTCAGGATTGCCTGCGTCTCCCTTATTTTTTGCCTGGCGTTTGGCGACTTCAATAGCCTGTCTAGGTTCAAAAAATAGTGGTCATTACAAGTTCAGTGAGAAAATAACAGCTACTTTTCCTGTTATCAGAATATATGGTTGGAAAACAAGACAGCTAAAAATAGGTGTGACAACAATAAGGAGGATCTAAATGATAAAAAAATAAAAAATGGAAAAGAAAAGGAATGATCAAATTCCAGAACTACGGGGCTTCAGCTTCCTGTCGCATTCTGTCATACCGTTGAGCTAGATGCCGAGCATCCTCCAATGGTGCTCCCATTACCATTGCTCTTAAGGGCTCGGCAACCTAAACGTTGAGCAAGACTTTAATAACAAAAATATTAAGCCATTAAAATGAAGCCAAGAACACATTGAACAAATCAACAATCTAAGCAGCACATAATCATCAGCAAGAAAGCTGAACATGTATGGCTACAAAGTTAAAACCAATCAATGTGGGACCAGTTCAGTTAAGGAACAAGACAAATCAGAAATCAGAATTTCATATCCATACGAGTAAAACACCTGTTCAGCTAGAAATTAAAACGCCATGGTATGGTTAAGGCAAAGTCAGATTTGAATCCTACAATTCTACAACACATCTCTTACCTGATGACTCATCATAGCACCAAGGAAAAAGTTTTGTGCAATCTCACAAGTCCCCCACCCCCTTCCCACTCTTTAAGGGGTATAAATATAAGTATGATGGACTCAATAAGCTAAATACCAATGTATAATATATAGCAGGAACACAAAAACAACAAAGGACTTCAAAGCAAAAGTGTGGAAATTGAAACATAACTTGACACTTCAGATTTCAATTGGACAGGGAGAAAACAAGCTACCATAGAGCACACTGGAATTGGCTAAAATTCACTCCAATCAGAGAACAAAAGACAGGGATCTTAATATTTAGACTGGGCACCATGGAGCTTGGATATAAGGAGCGGCATCCAAAAGGGAGAAAGGCAGTAACTCATCATACAACATAACAGTGGCTACTTTAGACTGCTTTGAGCCCTTTTTTTTTGCGCTCAACTGTAAGTATCAAAATGAAACCTATCCATGTGTATGTGCATGCATAGTTTTTAATGAAACCTGTGTGCCAAGGGCTTTTAGCAATTCCCACGCTCCTTTTCCATTTGGACACGAGCATGTGCAACTTAGTGCAGCTCTAGATAACGTATTACCACTGGTACATGTATTTTCTGCACCATATTTCCTGCTATCTTCTGACAATTTTGTCCCTGTCAAACAAGATGCACATGATTGAATAACAAGGTGAGGTTTTGTAAATAAATGTCAAAAATTAATTAAAATTTCACCCACCATGTCACTTACCTATTTCCACTTGCTTGACCCTGTAACACTATAACCTTCTACTTCTACCCCACGGACAATATCCCTTTGATAATGCGGAGCAGCAGCAAGCATGGTATCAGCAGTCATTGATGTAAAGGTAAATGAGAAATAAAAAACTCGCATGGGAGGACCAAGTACCTTTCCCGCACGTGTTGATATGTATAGCTTCTCAAGTTTCTGATGTTTTGGAACTCATCTCATCAGTAATCACATTATCTGACCTCCATATCCCCCTGCCCCAAATGTTTCAGGACAGCCTATATAACACAAATGTGATATAACACCTTAACAGAGGCCAGAAGCAAAACATTTAACATTTAAGAATAGGAAAAACAAGCAAGAAACAAGTTATGCCTGATCACCAAACTGAACTATACAGGTATAATTAAAGATAAATACTATTATCCATGCCCCCACCGCACCCTACATCCAAACTAGCCCCAGGGATAAGATGCATTCGTGTGCATACTTATAAATCAGGGTTGGATGCCAATAGCCATGCAGTCAAAGCGCATATTTTTTTGGTTTTAGAACTTCGAATCTTAAATAATTATTATAAATGCTAAAAGATCAAATCACCACAAAAATAAACAGAATATGAGTTTTTAAATTTTTTCGTGTGCACATGCAAATAAGTGAATTTTATACACTATTGCTTCACAATAATATCTTAATTATCTCAAATCATCTGTCATGCCCTTATGTTAGATTTTTAAAAAGAAAAAAGAAAGAAAGAAAGAAAAAGAAAAAGAAATTTGCTGTATCTCTGTATAGAATTGATACTCGTACGCATCCCTAAGAGCAGCAAAACAGAGGATCATGGCATAGCAGGTATGATGAATGATTTGCTAGATTTTTATATATAGTTCTTATTCTTTTTTACTTACTCTCAGAGTACACATTTTTCCTTGACATGGCCATGCTCCAGATAGTCATTCCTTGCAATAGATTGAATGATCGAATCCATTCATCTCCATTCAAAAATTAAACAGCTCATACGAGTGACTCAATATGCAGTTATGTCCTCTTTAAGTCTTCAGCACGTCTTTAGAAGCCGTCTAACCAATTTTATATGTACGTCGGCAGAAAACGAACAACAAATTACTTGCGAAGCAGCTATTCAAATCAAAATATTCAAAGATTCTGAGTGTTCACAACCAAGGTCAATGAATTTGCAAGCTAAGCTACTGTCTTAAAATTCAAGCTTTCAGCTAACATCCATGCAGTGTAGCTTTTATCGATTAATTACCGCAATGCAAGTACCGATTTCGACGGATCCAATGCACGCCGTTACCATGTTCATGCGAAGAGTAATTATACTCTAAGTTAAATGCTGGTTCGCTACATTCAGAATGGCATGGAAGATGCAAGAAGACAATTGCATAACAAAAATAGCAACAAACGGTGGCATTTGTGAGAACAAAGCGAATGCTATTCGAAGATAAAATGATTTCATAGGGATTAATAAATAGATAAAATCCATTTAAACGTCGGAGCTTGGAGGCTTGCTTTCTGATTGCATCCATTCACCGGCGAATGGATTGAATCTGCTCGCCGATCGGTTTCGGACCAACGCCACCAGCAATGAGTTCGTATCCGAGGGAGAAGAGAGCTTTTCAAACTGTATTGGAAATAGCATCAGGAGATTCATTTGGCTTTGGTTCCTTGGCGGAGACATTTCTGGTTGTTTTATTGTCATTTTATAATAAATTATTATCCTAACTTTTTGACCCGGAATTATTATCTTAATTAGGAGTATTTTAATTTTAGTCTCTGAAAATAATCATCAACGTCAATATAGCATCCATCATCATCAGTAATCAAAATTAGTTACATCAAAAAAATCAATAATCAAATTAGTAGTGGTTTTCTTTTAGCCAAGTCTTAATTGGTATTGTTGGTGACTTGGTGCAAAAGAGCAGCATATAAATGTTCAATATAAACTATAAATCCATTTAGTATTCGGTTAATATAATACTCCTCCTCCAGTCCTTAATATAAGACTCATTTAACTAATTTAATTAGATTAAGGAAGTTAGGTAAGTTAGTTAAATTATAGAAAAGTGACACATTTTTCCTAAAACGCTATAATCATCTTTCTTAATACCTCCTCTCCTTCTTCTACTTGATTATAGTTGAGGGAGTATTTATAGGGGTAATTTAGAGAAAATTGATAATATGAGGAATTGGTCTTATATTTAGGACTAAAATCAACTCAAAAATTGGGTCATATATTAAGGACTAGAGGAGTATATAAATAAATCATCAACATAATATGTATATAAACACATTTTCAAGCTAGTGAGTATCCTGCTCTGTTTTGAGTTCCTTCGAACTTAAAAAAAAAAAAAAAATTACTCTGTCTGTGCGTTTTGGGAGCTTCTAATGTTTTATTTTCAGTTTTTAATCTCTTCGAAAATGGTGTTTTCCAAGCATTTGAGTGAAAATTGAGCAAAGTAATACAACATAATTTAAACTCTGTAGATTTATCAAGAATAAAAAGGTTTGTTACATAAACAAGTGAGATAGATAAAGAGATAAAGTATATAATTGTCATCAACCATACTTTTAAATAATGATAATAGTAATAATAATAAGAATAATATAAGAATAAGAATGTTCCTATGTCCTCAAATGTTTGAATATATAAATGATTCACTTAAAACATAGCATGATCTGATATATTTATTCAAGCTTGTAAGAGAAGGAGGCTTGTAAAAAGCCGTGGCAACCAAAAACCTTGCATATTACGCCTTATTTCGAGGTTACTTTGCCCCCCTTCGTTCCACTTTAATGCATCTTATTATGCGTGTCCTCTGCTTTGTTTTTTTAGTCCCAAGACCAAGGGACGCAACATAAGGTCGGCAGCATGATTCACAAATTAAAGTTCATATCATGAGCCATGAGATAGATAGCAGCCACTGAGCTTTGAATATATTGGGTTTCTTCCCTTTAGGCTGAAAAGTTGTGATTGCCATTTATCAAATTCTAGGTTCGGGTCATTGGAGGAATGTCATGAGAGTCGAAGACATCTAGGCAGCTAATAATATCTACGTCTAGGTTTCACTTGAGTTGAGTGAACTATGAATTGGGCCGATCTAATTTAGAAGTCGGGCTTTACTCATTTTGTATACAGGTTTTTTACTATGGATTTCATTCTCATTTTCAGCTGTGAGCTTCTCAATTTGCTTTTTATTATATCATTTATTTTATTCACCAACTAGTTTATTTACAAATCTGAGCTTCATTTATGAATTAAAAAGTCCAAGCAAGAAATGCATAATTTTTCATGTCGTGCTCTATTCTCTTTCTGTTTTCTACCATCTATTTCTCAAAACTTAATAATTTATACAAACTAAGTGTCCTCACCGCCCTCTATTCCAGTTATAGTAGGAATGCATCTAAAGTGTACACCTTATTCACTTTTCATTGCTATAAAGGTGTTAGTTGAGCTCATCTTATGGAAATGATGAGCTCAATAGTTTATTAGGAAATTTTCCCCAAAAGGTGGTTTCTCAGCTGTGAGCTTCTCAATTTGCTTTTTATTATATCATTTATTTTATTCACCAACTAGTTTATTTACAAATCTGAGCTTCATTTATGAATTAAAAAGTCCAAGCAAGAAATGCATAATTTTTCATGTCGTGCTCTATTCTCTTTCTTTGTTTTCTACCATCTATTTCTCAAAACTTAATTTTATACAAACTAAGTGTCCTCACCGCCCTCTATTCCAATTATAGTAGGAATGCATCTAAAGTGTACACCTTATTCACTTTTCATTGCTATAAAGGTGTTAGTTGAGCTCATCTTATGGAAATGATGAGCTCAATAGTTTATTAGGAAATTTTCCCCAAAAGGTGGTTTCTCTATCTTTCTTCAATCTTTGGATTTCTCACAATGCAATCCATAACAACTATCAACACAAATTAGAATATCTATTTGGTGGCCATTTTATCTTAAAATCAAAACCAAAAGTCTCCATCAAAACCTTGTTACCTGTTTCCTGTTAAATATGTACACCCATGTATAATCTAATCAATATTGATTCTCATGTATAGTAATTAATCAATTCACCATCCTTCCTCCATTCTCATTTAGTTCTTTCCTCTTCCTTTCCTCCTTTTTTTTTTTTACTTTTTTTACAATGAGGGTATTTGTATCCTTTCATGTTTGCATGTATTTAATCATATATTAGTCTCGTTATGACTGCGGGAGTAGAGGTGTGGATATCCCTTTGAATACCATAAAATTGTTTTTCATAATTGGTGATTTATTCAAAAGGCATTAGCTGAGCAAGTTCTTCTTTAGAGATTTGCCTAGGAATCTGAATAATAGAAATATCATTTGCTCGTTCAAATACCACATAAAAAGCATCTTTAGTGAAATTGTGAAAATAGAGATTAAGAGAATGATTATGGAGCCTGTAGATGATCTAATGATAAAGGGTTGCTGCAATAGTTCTAGGATCTTGATCTGTTCCAACTATCTGGATTTGGACATTCAATTTGTCCATTAGAGTTGGATCTAAGAGTTTTATTTTAAAATTAGGAGCCATGGTAAGAATGACATTACCATTGTTGAGAGTAGTTAAGATAACACCAATTAAAATATTACTATACGAAGTGCAGATAGTATCAACTAAAGTAACTTTAGCTGTAGCTGGAATCACTTTTCTCCCATAAAGTGTAAGAATGAGACGCACAGCACCAACACGGAGATGAGTATAACCCTGAGCTTTCCATTTATCAATTAAAGGTTGGGCTATGTCAAGAGTAACATATTGTTCAAAAGAGGTGGCATAAAGATCACAGTTTTTCAAATTGGTAGTCTGGACAATTTCTTTCACATAGGGTTATCTAGTAGAAATTATATTTCTGATATTTTTGGAGACACAATTAGTACAATGACAAAGGCTATAAGAACTGAGAAGAAATAAATCTGTTTTCTAAATTTTAATATCTTTATGAAGGTAATCTACCTCAATAAAATTTTCTATCTTTTTAGAAATAGATCTACAAATAGAGAAAGGAAGTTTTTGAGGGGTAAAGGAGGGGG